GAATGGGTTAGTTATCATGGGAATGGGTTCCTGGTAAAAGGATGAGCTCAGTCCCCTTCCCTCTCTCTCACCCATGTGATACCTTCCACCACATGATGACACAGCAAGAAGGCCCTCACCAGATGCCAGCACCTTGATCTTGGACTTCTCAGCCACCCTCCAGAACTGTGAGGAAATAAATTTCTTTTCTTTATAAATTAGCCAGTCTCAGGTACTCTGTTATAGCAGCTCAAAACAGACAAGAGCCTATATCATTTTCATCAGGAAAAGAACTTTCTTACACCTCAGAAAAGAACCTTCTTATACCTCCAGATGTAAACATAATACTTAAGTGTGATACTACTTGTGGTCCTAATGTTAACATACAATGGTTGTCCTCAGAGAAGCCCTTCTCCTGGGAGGGGAATGTGGCATGGTGGTTGAGGGTGCAGGCTGGGCCTGAACTTGAATCCCAGCTCTACTACTGACCAGCAATGTGACCTTGAGCAGATCCTTGGATGTCTCTACAGACTAGGGGGACCAACAGCATCCACTTCATAAAGTTGCAGCAAGGATTTAATGAGGCCATGAGAGTTGGATGCCTAGGTCAGCACACTGCCCATGGTAAAAATATGCCCTCAAGAAGCATAGGCTATGGTCAGGAGGCCTCTGGGAACTCAACTGCTGAAGGTGAGCACAGGCTGACCCAAAAGAAGTGAGCCTCACAGCCCAGGCAAAGGTTGGAAGTGAACTTTGTCTGAAGGTCCAGGGAAGGTAGACACCAGGTCAGGTGACAAGCAAGCTATACTTTCTGGGAAAGTTGCGTTTGAGTATTCAAGGTCTCTTTTAAACTTCAGGATCAAAGATAGTAAGAACCCATGGATAGCATTTCACACCCATTTTGTTTTGCAGGGACCAGGTACTAACACTGTACCCTCTTCCTGAAGGTGCTTTTCAAGATACTCCGTGCTGTCAACTTCAAGCAGAATAACCCACAGAAGCCTGTGGTGCCCAGAGCTCTTAAGATATGTTACTCTTGGCTTTCCTAGGAAAAATTAAGTCTGTCCAAAGATCAAACAATTGAACAGTGAGGTGATAAATAACCTTTGCCTCTCCATTTTTCCAGTACCACCCTTGTGCCTGACATTTTCCCCCCTTCTCTAGTTTCAAAACGCACTCTTGTGAACACACCCTGTATTTATCACTTATCTCCATATATTTTTAGTTAATGTTTCACAAGAGTATCTATTAGTGGATTTTTCATGTTTCCAAGTGCAAGTTTACCCTCATGCTTTTAAGTCTATGGGTAAAGAGAAAAATAAGAGACAAGAGATGTGACTGGTAGAAGTGAACAAGTAAAAACTTAAGAAGCCCCACAGGCTGTTTTTCAGGTTCGAGTTTTGCTAGCATTGGCTGCAAGTATAAATTCTGACAATAGGCAGCATTGCGCCCTTTTTTTTTTTTTTTTTTTTTAGACAAAGTTTCACTCTTGTTGCCCATGCTGGAATGTAATGGCACGATCCTCGGCTCACGCAACCTCCACCTCCAGGTTCAAGCAATTCTCCTGCCTCAGCCTCCCGAGTAGCTGGGATTACAAGCATGCACCACCATGCCTGGCTAATTTTTGTATTCTTTAGTAGAGATGAGGTTTCTCCATGTTGGTCAGGCTGGTCTCAACTCCTGACCTCAGAGTGATCCGCCCACCTCGGCATCCCAAAGTGCTGGATTACAGGCGTGAGGCCACCGTGCCTGCCACATTGGGCCAATTCTAATCAGAAGTTGTCCCTTGAAATAAGAGATTTGTAGCCTAAAAGACTATTAACCAATACTGCTCCAAAAGTTTTTCTTAGAGATAATGTTGTATAATATATACATTACACAATGTCATATGTCATATATGGGTGTGTTATATAGAACACTGTTATCTTTCATCAAATGTATCGTTACTAAGGAATGACATGTATAGTTATTAAATCATTTTCTCAATACAGGATGCAGTGGCTCACGCCTATAATTCCCAGCACTTTGGGAGACTGAGGTGGGCAGATCATTTGAGCCCAGGAGTTGGAGACCATCCTGGGCAACACGGCAAACCCATGTTGTTTTTCTCTACCAAGAAATACAAAAAAAAAAAAAAAAAAAATTATCTGGGCATGGTGGTGCATGCCTGTAGTCCCAGCTACTTGGAAGGCTGACGTAGGAGGATCACCTGAGCCCGGGGAGGTTGAGGCTGCAGTGAGCTGTGTTTGTGCCACTGCACTCTAACCTGAGTGACACAGTGAAGCGGCCTCAAAAAAACAAACAAAAAAACCAGATGCAAGAAATGTAATAATCGCCCCATTTGATTTTAGCTCACAAGTGGTAATTTGAGAGAAAAGATAATTTAAGATGCTATTCAACAACTGGGGAGATTTGACATGGGCTATGATAATGGCATTGTGGTTACATAGGAGAATGTCTTTGTCCTTAGGAGACAGATGCTGAGGTGTTTAGGGGGGAAGCATCTGGATGTCTGTAATTCATTCTCAAATGACTCAGGGGCGGAAGAAAATGTCTGTCCAGAGAAAGAGAAAGCAAATGTGGAGATGTTAGCAATTAGTGAATCTAGTTGAATGGCAGACTGGCGTTCATTGCACTATTCTTGCCACTTTTCTGTAGATTTGAAATATTTTTTAAAAGATGTTAAAAAAAAGAGAGTTCTTGTTATGATTAAGCACAAAAGCCTACTTCCTCCCAGGAAAACAGAACATATGTGTAAAAACACTGTCAATTTTCCAAAATCTTGATTAAAATGCATTGCCAAAATCAGAATATTTTTGTGTAAAATCTTATAACTAAAAATAAAATGCCTGTCTTTACCCCAACCAGTGAGTTAATACATATTCTATATTGGTACATAGCAAAGTCAAAGAATCCATAATAAAAACAAGAAGAATATATACAAGACAGCAAAGACACATGGAATGATAAATGCTCAAGATTGGCGGGAAGCTTTTAAGGAATTCTATTAGATTTCCCATTTGTTCTCCAATGTAAATAAGGCCCTAGAATTTTAGAGCTGAGAAACATCAGGGAGAAATACAGTCCCAATAGTTCAGTCCTCAGTTTGTAGGTGATATAAGGCAGAGTCAGAGAAAATTATTTAAGTGTGGAAGTGTACAAGTGTTTCAAAGCTGTAAAGTGCTCTTAAAATCCACCTGGAACCCCTTCCTGTGAGTTACAATCAGCATTAGATCAATGTCCCTTGGAAATGTCCTACTTATTTCATGGAACTCTTTCCAGTAGAAATCAATTTCCTTGGCAATTTTAAATCACGGCAGTTCCAAAAAGTTTGAAGTATTTCCAATTGAACAAGAGTAAGTCAAGTGTTCTCACAAGTTTTTCGAATGGTAACAAAATATATTTGGTAAGGAAAAGGATAATGAGAAATAAAAAGGAGACATGGGACCAACAAATAATAAAAGAGCTGAAAAAATGACCATGTTACCCAATATTTTGATTTGCCAGATAAAACCACAAAGTACTGAGTATCTTCCTTCCACTTCTTAAACCCGCTTCTGAAGCAATACTTCCATTCATTCATTCATGTATTCAAATATTTAAACTGCTAATAGGTAAAGACATCAGAAGGACTTCAACGGCCATACTGTAACTTTTTAAACTATGTAATATTGTCCTTCTATGACAGCATTTTTTCTTTTTTACAGACAGGATCTCACTCTGTCACTCAGGCTGGAGTGCAGTGGCACAATCATGGCTCGCTCTTGCCTCAACCTCCCAGGCTCAAGGAATCCTCCCACCTCAGCCTCTACAGTAGCTGGGACTACAGGCATGTACCACCACACCTGGCTGATTTTTTAAATTTTTCAGTAGAAATGAGGTCTTGCTATGTTGACCAGGCTGGTATCAAACTCCTCACCTCAAGCCATCCTCCTGCCTCAGCCTCCCAAAGTGCTGGGATTACAGGCATGAGCTACTGAACAGGGCAGCATTTTTTTTTTTGGATATGAAGAAAGTTATTTTTTAAAGTCTAAATATGCAACTAAATTGAAAATAATCCTCTATATCTAAGTTTATGAAATGTGAACTGTGAGCAAATATCATAATTATACATTGGAGGGAAAACATAATCTCAGGGGGAAAAAAATTCAAGCTTACACTTAGGACTCTGAACCATGAAGCAACTGTCGAGATGGACCTTTATTGGATCTTGCCCTTAATTATGGATGGAGTTCATGCAGTCTTAAGCCTGGGTGTCAAAAACCATTAATAATTACCCTTAAATGGCCAACAAAAGGATATTTTCATAATCAGGGTGGTGTGCCTGTAAAGACTATATAAGTCTCACGATTCTGCTCAGCTTTTCAAACTCCTCTTTGATTCTTCTAGCTGTTTCACTATTGGGCGACCAGGTTAGTGTGATTTTGGTACTACCTAGAGCTCCTTCTGTTTGCATTAATACTCTGCTTCCTTTCAGAATTGTGTGAAAGATAATGGTCTGGGGAGAAGGTGAGTTTATGCCATCTGAAGATATTCCCTGTAATTTAGAAGCTAGAAGCTGTGGTCAAGTATTCTTGAAGACCACAGCCTGCAGAGTGCAGATCAGGTACATAAAAAGTGAAGAATGCCATTAATTGCTAATAAAAATCTTTGGCTCCAGGGACCATCCCCCCCATCTCCTAACAGATATACTCTAAGAACAGACATTCAACATACTATCTAAGATGGTTTTTTTTTTTTTTTTTTTTTTTTTTTTTTTTTTTTTTTTTTTTGCGACGGAGGCTCGCTCTGTCGCCCAGGCTGGAGTGCACTGGCATCGCACTCACTGCAACCTCTGCCTCCCGGGTTCAAGCGATTCTCCTGCCTCAGTCTTCCAAGTAGTTGGGACTACAGGCACGTGCCACCACACCCGGCTAATTTTGGTATAGAGACAGGGTCTCACCATGTTGGCCAGGCTTCCACGGTCTCAAACTCCTGACCTCAAGCAATCCACCCTCCTCGGCCTCCCAAAGTGCTGGGATTACAGGCATGAGCTACCATGCCCGGCCTAAGATGCTTATTTTTAAAACATGTTGGCAGTTACTGGTGTCATTCCCACCCCAACGTTCTCTTTTCCTTATTCTTCCCCATTTATGCCAAGGAAATGGCCCAATGGCACTAAAATCCTGCTGACAACCCTCAGCACAAAACTCTGCTTCAGCTTTTTGGTAAGTTTTATTTTCTTCCCAATTTATAGGGCACCAGAATGAGTACTAAAAAGTCTCCTGAGGAACTGAAGAGGATTTTTGAAAAATATGCAGCCAAAGAAGGTGATCCAGACCAGTTGTCAAAGGATGAACTGAAGCTATTAATTCAGGCTGAATTCCCCAGTTTACTCAAAGTAAGTGGCCATCCGCAGAGCCCGCTTAATGGGACTGATGGTGGGGAGGGCGGGAGGGGAGAGGACTCTGGTAAAGCTTTATAGGGACCATCGCTTGAGGGAGGACACATGCAGGTGGGCTTTCTTCCCCTTAAGTCAGGCCACATTTCAGAAGGCAAGCTCTCAGAAAACAAGGGCCAAGCCTTCTATCCCTCCCGCAGCCTCAGCACAGGACTCTGCAGGACTAGCCATGGTAAATGGAAGCAATGCCAAATTATGCCTGGAAGACCCACAAGTCATCAAGCAAACCCACTAAGGCCTTCAGCAAGGATTCAGTAATTCTGTGCCAGGCTTTAGGAAAACAAAGAGGATTGCAAAATAGTGTTAGCTGGCCTTGGATGGGCTTCATTTTTATATGTAAAATCCCTCAACAAGACCAACATTTACTTAGCAGTCTGTTAGGAAAACCCACTGACAAATTGCCTTGTCAGCACTCATTTATATTTCAAAAGCATTTAAATTTGTGTTCATCACTTAAATTTGTGTTAATGAGGCAACCATGCATTTCTAAACAACTTTCAAGAAAGGACTAAATTTCCTGGGCCATAAAGTTTCACATCAAAATCACCCCAGAGTTGTCAAAATCAAAATGTATTCAAGGCAACGGAGTGGAGAGAAGAGCTGATCCTCCTCTCTCCAATATACAGTACTTTTCCTTTTGCTAAAGAAAAAACTGACTGAGGACATTTGCTAAAGATGGTAAGGCAACTCACTCCAGGAGGGCCATGGCGATCCATACTGAAACAGGTTCTTGCCATGGGGAGAGAGATTGGGCTCAACTCCTAAATGGACAAGTGGGGATTTATGATCATGGAACAGGATGGGGGGCCAATGGATGGAAAATTACCAGGGAAATATCCAGGATAAGGAGTTTTTGGTTAAATTGCCTTGATAGGATCCTAGCCGAAGGCAGGCCAGGTGATCAGATATTAAGGGTGGTCAGATACAAGGACAAAGAGGGGAAGCCCAAGGTCGGGTCTAGTTAAGCAGAGGACTCAAACGAGACAGTCATTGTCATTTTGCAACTAAAAACCATCTTCACAACAGAAATGACATGCAATTGTTCCTTATGACTCAGTCACTATTTAGCTCTAACTTCAGGAGAGAACATTTCTTCAAATATTTTAACCAGCTCTCCAGATTTTAACCAGAAATGTCCCTTCTGCCAATATGACAATTGGAAAGACTTCTGTTTTTAATACTAAAAAGAAAAAAAGCTGAATTCAATGACCCTGTAATCTGATATTTTGTCATTTTCTTATAGTTGAAATACAGAAGAACTTGTAAAAACAGTTAAAATCACTAGCAGAAAAATGGACTTTTTAATTAAAAAGCAAAACAAGTTAGTGAGACATTTTAAATTTTTAAAAACCCTTTATTTTTTTCTAAAAGGAAGAAAAATAATCATCTAACAGGAAAGCCTAGGCCATGTACTCAAACAAGTTAACTCAAAAGGTAACATGAGTAACTTTTTCTATACTTTATGTCCTTCCTACAAAAAGTACATAACACATAATCTGGAACAAGGTAGGAAGACAAATGGTAAGTTCTGAAAGTGTACTTACATGTACCTGATTATATTTCCATAAGGTTTCCATTACTAAGGTTTTCCACCATACTCTGTTTCCATATATCATCACCATGTATGGTTTAGAATCTAGTAAAGGCTTCAGGAAAACAGTGTTTCATATTCATAAATCAAAGGCTGAATAAGTAACTTACAGTTTGGTCTTGTAATCAAAGCAAAGTGCTGAGTGTTTTTGTAGGAATCTTAGGGGTTAAAACAGATCTTCCATAGAGATGTGTTGCACAACATTGTGAATCTACTTAGCACTACTGGGCTGTATGCTTAAAAATGATTAAGAGCATAAATTCAATGCTATGTGGTTTTTTATCACAATTTATATATACATATATGTAATATAGTCTAATTTGAAACTGACAAACTGAACTGTTATTTCAATCGGTTTTCTAAAAAGTATTTTGCACAGATAGACTCCTACCTGAAAATCCAAGTAGTAATGGCTTTAAGGTTAGAGTTTTATGGTAGAGACAAAAATTAAGTCCGCTTAAGACACTGCAGGAAGTTCAGTAGTCAAAAAGCCTGCACACGATCTCACGTGACATCTCAAGCAGTGGTTCTCCAAGTGTGGTCCCAGAGCAGCAGCACTGGCACCACCTGGGAAGCTGCTGAAACTATAGATTCTCCAGCCTGGACAACACAGCAAGACCTTGTCTCTACTAAAAATTTTCAAAAATTAGCCGGGTGTGGTGGTGCATGCCTTTAGTCCCAACTACTTGGGAGGCTGAGGCAGGAGGATCATTTGAGCCCAGGAGGTGGAAGCTGCAGTGAGCTGTGATCATGCCACTGCACTCCAGCCTGGGTGACAGAGCAAGACCTTGTGTACAGATTCTCAGGCCCCACCCCAGGCCTAGTGAGTCAGAAACTCTGGAGGTGGGGCTGGCAATCTGTATTTGCTAAGGCCAGCACGCCTATCGTGTGATTCTGATGCATGCTAAAGCATGGGAACCATTGAGCCAAAGTCATTTTGCATAACTCAGCGTTTGGGAAAAACTGGGCAGTGGTTAGTTAAGGGGTTGAGCTCTGGAGTCAATGTGTGGACCCCAACCCCTCTGCTAACCAGCTGTGGACGCTCAAGCAAGTGACCGGCTATCTCTGAGCCTGTTTCCCCACCTGTAAAGTAGATCTCCCTCATAGCGTGGTCGAAAGGATTATAGAAGGAGCCCTCCCAGCCTGCTGCCTCATGTAATATGTCAGCCCTAGCCCTGGAGCAGGAGACAAACCCAGCTCCCAGGAAAACCTTGGGGCAGGGGTCCTCAACTGTTTGTGCACCACGGGCAATCCAGTGAAGCCCAAAGATCCCTTCTCAGAAGAATGTTTTTAGAGGCATAAAGAAAAAGACCCAAGATTACATAAGAAAACAACTGTATTAAAATACACATTGTATTAAAATAATAAATGTGTGATATGGGGGGGCGAAAGGTAGCCAGTTCTATGACACAGAGCAACATGACAGCTAGAGCTGGTCTCCCTCTGTTAGCTATTAGATGCATGTCACTGGAAACCTGGGCTGCCGCCTTCGCACACAGACCCAAGGCCTCTAATTTCTGAGAACGTGTAGCAGTAACTGATTCATTTTTTCTCCCCTCCCCTCTCCCATTCTTTTTTTATCTAAAACAGAGTCCAAACACCCTAGATGATCTGTTTCAAGAACTGGACAAGAATGGAGATGGAGAAGTTAGTTTTGAAGAATTCCAAGTATTAGTAAAAAAGATATCCCAGTGAAGGAGAAAACTAAATAGAACCCTGAGCACTGAAGGAAGAGCACCTGTGCTGTGGTTTTATCCTATGTGGAATCCCCCAAAGTCTCTGGTTTAATTCTTTGCAATTATAATGATCTGGCTGTGAGGTTCAGTTATTATTAATAAAGAAATTATTAGACATACCTTACTTTGTTAAGTACTGACCCTCATAACATAATAGACTTGAAAGTAACCTCAGTCTGATTCAACTAATTCTATAGATTTAAAAGAGAGAGAGAGAGGGAGGCTGAGGCAGGAAGAACACTTGAACCCCGGAGGTCAAGGTTGCAGTGAGCCATGATCACACCACTGCACTCCAGCCTGGACCACAGAGGGAGACCCCGTCTTAAAAAAAAAAAAGAAAGAAAGAAATGTGAGGGCCAAGATAGCTCTGTGAGCCTGCCCAAAACTACAAAGATGGTGTGGGAGACCTAAAAAGAATCCAGAAATGCCAAACCAACTCCCTTGCTCCACTTTTCTGCCAGAATCACCCTGTTGCTTGCTCTCCTTCCTTAACTCCTCAGTGCTCGGGTCATCTCCAATTTCCACTCTGATCTCACACTATCCACCAGCGAGTGAGAAAAACACTTCACAAACAGACACTTGACATCATGCTATCTCCCAGGCCTCGCTGTGCTTTCTTAATGAATGACCCTACAGAAGGAACACAGGACCTAGAGGCGGCCCCACTCATCACTGACCGGGTGGCCTCGCGTCTACCAGCCTAACGCTGTGGTTCTGGCGTGTGACGTGTCATATAAAAGATCACAGGAAGACCTTGGGCCCTCTCAACTCTTGGCATCCTGTATCCTGACAAAACAGCCAGCCCTCAAGTTCAAGTTCCACTTTTCGCGTCCAGCTGGGGGATGCAGGGGGTGAAGTGACGACAGTGGGGAATATGGAGGCACGAAGCGCAGAGAAGGGAAGGGAACTTTCTGCTACCCCTTACCAGATAAGAGTTCAAATGTTAACTTCAAGTTTGTCCAAGTTGCTAATGGCTCAAGCTGACCCCAATAGCCTGCTCACAGCAGTGCCCCAGAAGCTAGATTTTTATTTCTTCTTTATCCTCGCAACTCTCCTCCGCAAAACACCCATGAAGCATCAAAGTATCAGTATTGGGTCCCATTGCCTTTGAACGGTCTCTCTCAACCTTTCTTATTTTCTTTCTTTTTTTTTTTTTTTTTTGAGACAGAGTCTTGCTCTGTCGCCCAGGCTGGAGTGCAGTGGTATGATCTTGGCTTACTGCAACCTCCGCTTCCTGGGCTCAAGCAATTCTCCTGCCTCTCAGCCTCCCAAGTAACTGGGATTACAGGCGTGTGCCCCCACACCCGGCTAATTTTTGTACTTTTAGCAGACACAGGGTTTTACTATGTTGGCCAGGCTGGTCTCAAACTCCTGACCTCAGGTGATCTGCCGGCCTCAGCCTCCCAAAGTGCTAGGATTACAGGTCACACTCAGCCTCTCTCAACCTTTCTTAAGCCATTATCACCCTCCTAAGGAGCCTTGTTAAACACTTGTTTCTAATCACCACCCTTCAGGAAATTTTAACTCCAGAGATGTCTTGTGCATCTGTTTATGTGCTGTGTGCATATCTGTGCTTTAGACATGAAGGTTTTTTTTAACCCCACTGCTGCCCTCCCCACCAAAAACCCAATTGTAATCCCCTTGGGAGTGACATGATATGCTTTTGAACAATGTTCTTCAAGCAGTTTATTATTTTTACCTCACTCTCTAGAGCCCAGACTGCCACACTATACTTCCTGTAGTTGACATCAGAAAGATATGGGATCATTTCCGCTTTCAAAATGTAGAAAATGATGCTACTGAAGGAGTTTCAAACTACATAAGCCCTCTAAAGATTCTGCTATACGGCCCTACCCTCAAGCTGAAAATCACTGCCTGCAAAGTACTGCCTTTGACTTATTTTCAGTTTTAGGGATTTTTTGTGTTTTTTTGTTTTTTGTTGTTGTTGTTTTCGGTTTTTTTTGTTTTTTGTTTGTTTCTGTTTTTTTGATAGGGTCTTGCTCAGTAGCCCAGGCTGGAGTGCATTGGCATTTTCAGGGCTCACTGCAGTCTTGACCTCCTGGGCTCAAGGGATCCTCCCACCTCAGTCTCCCAAGTAGCTGGGACTACAGACATGTGCTACTATGCCTGGCTAATTTTTATTTTTTTACTTTTTGTAGAGACAGGGGTCTCCCTGTGTCGCCCAGGCTAGTCTCAAACTCGTGGGCTCAAGCAATCCACCCACCTTCATCTCCCAAAGTGCTGGGATTACAGGCATGAGCCACCATGCCTGGCCTTTTTTTTTTAATCCAATGAACTTGAATGTGTATGCTGGGTTCTTCTGTCAAGTTGGCTGCTGTCATTTTTCCAGAAGCTGGATGACTCTCTGAAGTGGGCAGAGGAGTACATACCCACACTCCCACCTCATCTACCCATAAAAGGCTGGGCAGGCCCAGGCTTCTCTCTGGGGTGTTTGAGCTCAGAGAGAGAGAAGTAGCGGTTGATGTAAGCACAGGGGTGGTGGGGACAGGGTGACCAAAGTGAACTGGGCATAAGATGAGTAGCTGGTATATAGTGACTTGGAAGGCAAGGTGCTTGAGATTTCCTGGAAAATCTCTGCAAGTGCACAGTAGAAACTATTATCATTGGTTACGTACTTCAAGAGGACTGGGCAGATGGCGGGGGCAGGAATAAGAGAGCCACTACTCACTTAACAAACTCTTGGACATTTTGATTTCTGAGCCATATGGATGTGTGTCCTATCAAAAAGAATAAATGAAAATGTTCAATAGTAAGAGAACACTTTGTAAATCTCTGGCTGCTGCTCTTTGTGATTAGCCTCTCAGCACTCTTATTTGGAATAATCCGAAAAATACAACTATCTAAATTTTGGGAGGAGAGTATACTTGTGGAGATTTGGGAAGAAAGAAAATAAGTATGGAAGTTTCCCCTAATAATAAAATGAAATTCATTGGAAGCCATTTCAAACATTTAGAAAGCTAACTAGAAAAATAGAAAAGTGGCGAGGCGCAGTGGCTCACGCCTGTAATCCCACCACTTTGGGAGGCCAAGGCAGGTGGATCGCTTGAGTCTAATAGTTCAAGACTAGCCTGGGCAACATGACGAAACTCTACAAAAAATACAAAAATTAGCCAGGCATAGTGGCACACACCTACAATCCCAGTTACTCAGGAGGCTGAGGCAGGAGGATTATCTGAGCCCGGGAGGTGGAGGTTGCAGTGAGCAAGATTGTGCCATTGCACTCCAGTCCAGTCTGGTTGACAGAGCAAGACTCTATCTCAAAAAAAAAAAAAAAGGTGATTTCTAACTCACCAAGAAACAGAGGAGATTTTATAAACAGTTGAGGGACCGTTTAAATACAATTTGTATCATTCTAACTCAACACAAGAACATTCTCATGGTATTAAAACTCTTAAACATTTCTAATGACTCATTACATTCCACTGTACAGATACCCCATAATAGTCTTAACTATTTCCCCATTGTGGGGCATTTAGATTGTTGTCATTTCCGATTCTTCCAAATGTTATGATGAGTAGACTGTTGTCATTGCTAATTCTTCTAAATGTAATGAGTACCTATTCATATTTCTGTCAACATTTCCGATTTCCTTAGGAGAATTTCTGAGAAGTAAATGTCTGAGTCAGAGGGTATGGATTTTGTATGGTTTATCAAACAGACCACCTAACTGATTTCCCAAAAGGTTGTATGGATTCATAACTCTACAGGCAGGAAGGAGAATGCCAGCTTCACTCCCCAGAGAGCATTTGCTGGTCTCATTTTAACAACTGTTTTGTTCATGATGGTGCACATTTTTTATCTGTTGCTGGTTGTAATAAGAATCCCTTACTATTTCACCATGAAGTTTACTGTCAGCTATTGCTTTGAGAAAGATACTCTTCTTCTTCTTTAAGAAGTACTGGTCTCTTCCTAGTTCATTGTGAGACTGCGGGCACCAGGTTTCGATATTGAGCATGTATGGCGCTACAGGGTTTCTCTCTTTTGTTCAATCAATATAATGTGTTAATTTAATTCCCAGGATAAACACACTACCCAGTCATGATCATTCTTTAATGCTGTTAAATTGGATGTTCTAATATTTTATTTGAGATTTTTCACATCTTCATTCCTAACCAACGTTAGTCTATGGTTTGGGTTTTTATTATTTGCGGTGTGTGTTTTGTTCGGTTCTGATACCTAGCTCATGCTAGCTTCTCATTTTAGCCTATGTTCATTCTAGGTATCAATTAGCCCCTCGCAGAGTTAATATACATTATCTATTTCAATTCCAACATATATAAAGTACCTATTATGGGCAAGGCACTATACGAGATGCCATGAGAGATACAAATTTCCAGACCTCTGAGATTCTAAGTCAGTAAGTCTGGGACCAGGTCAGGGGAAGGATTCCTCAGAAAAGTAGCATTTCAACTGCACTTTGTAGAAAGAACCTTGAGGGGAGCATGCAGGAAAGGGGCAGCAGTGGGCATTCAGAGAGAGAGAAAATAGCCCGAGCAAACACATCATGCCCAAATGCAAGGCCGTTCAGAGAACGCGCACACCCTGTTTGGGGTGGAATGTCAAGTATGAGGAATGAAAAGGGCACACCCGCTTCAGATCATGAAAGTCTTTGGTCGCCATGCTGAGTCCACCCAAGGTCACAAAGGGAGTAAGAAGGTGTAGGAGTCACAGAATGACAAAAAAAAAAAAAAAAAAAAAATTGCATATATTCAAGGTGTACAACAAGATGTTTTCATCTATGTATACACTGTGGGAGGATTACCACAAGTAAGCTAACATATTCATCACTTCATGTAGTTACTGTTGTGTGTGTGTGATGAGAGCAATGAAGATCTACTCTCTTAGCAAATTTCAGCCTCCCAAAGTGCTGGGATTACACTGTTATTAACTATGGTCCCCATGCTGTACATTAGATCTCCAGAATTTATTCATCTTATAACTGCAAGTTTGTGTCCTTTGACCAACATCTCCCCATTTTTCCCACTCCCGTTTCACCCCGGTAATATCACTCTACCCTCGGCTTCTACTTTGATTGTTTTAGATGCCACATATAAGTGAGATTATACAGTATTTGTCCTTCTGTGCCTGGGTTATTAACATAATGTCCTCCAGGGTCATCCATGTTGTTGCAAATGGCAGAATTTCCTTCTTTTTTGAAGCTAAGTAGTACACATCCCCACATATTCCATTTTCTTTATGAACACTTAGATTGATTATGTATCTTGGTTATTATGAATAAT